TCCATACGGATCTTAGGCGATACAATCAGGAGTAAGTATGGAAACCCATAATTTTGAAGTCAGTTGCTGAAGACTTCCTAGATTGGGGGCAACCCGCGAGGAACTTGCTGCTCAAGCCTCCAGGGCAAAGGAAGCCTATGAACAGGCACTGAAACAAGTCGATGAGTTTCAAACACTGGCCGAAGTAAGACAATCGTACCATTATCCTGAGGCCCTGGCTAACTACGTCTATTCAGGTACTTAAAACAACTCTCGATCATCGCAAGAAACGCTGGCGGATTTTCAGGTCACATATCTCCTCACGCGCCAAGGCACAATTTACATATCTACTCAGCGAGAGGAGCTTTCGAGGTCGACTTTTGACAGATCACGAGGGAAAACTACTGGATCTACAAGTATGTTTTTTGAAATTCTTTTGCCGCTGACCTATTCTGATAGTCCTCCACAGGTTGAGCCTGACATAACGAAAGACAGTGTGGGCCGTGGTGCAAAGACCCTTTCTGGCGGTGAGAAGTCTTTCTCCCAGGTATGCCTGCTTTTGGCATTGTGGGAGGCTATGGGATCCCCGATTCGATGCTTGGACGAGTTGTATGTTTCCTGAATTATCACCGTGCAATCAGCTACTGACTACGTTGGTCTTGTAGTGATGTGTACATGGATCATATCAACAGGAAAATGGCGATTGACATGCTAGTATGATTGTCTTTTATGCGACTTCCTGCGAAGCTTGCTAATCGGGACACAGATGCTCGCGGCAAGGCGGTCAATCGGTCGGCAGTTCATACTTATTACGCCCGGATCCAGGGCTGAGATAAGCTTGGCGCCAGATGTTCGCGTGAAGGAGTAAGTCTTTACCTTGTTACAAAAGCTGACCGACAGCAGCTTACTAGGCTCATATAGGTTGGCAGAACCCGAACGGGGGCAGACAAGGCTCGCTTTCTAGACATACAATTCCAAGTAAATCACTCTGTAGATGTTATCAGGCCTTTATGAGCTCCGGTAATTCTTTATCATCAGTACTCCCTTCCTATTCTCTGTGACTGTCATTATAATGAGGTAGAAAAGGTGGGTGAGTCTTTGAAACCGCGGATTATTCGGATGCTCAGTGGCGATGTTGTCTTGAGTAATGTGAAAAGCCGATACGAATACGGTAATTCGCTAGGTAACTATAAGTTCTAAGGTATATAGGCTAGGCGAAACTTCTGGACTTGACTGCCATTAATCGAGGTCATACCTATTTTTTCATGCATGTCAATGTTGAGCAGTCGTACCCCCTTCACACTCAGCTGGACTCTTTCGAACTTAGTAACATTCATTTAGACTTTGTTTGGGTAACTGCGTAGTTCCCGAGTTGTTGTAAAAGTACATACCATACCTCCTCCCACCGCGTTGTGAGGCTCGGCCCGTTTTTGGACTACGCCCAAACCGGCCCACACGAAGAGCAGTCAGTGACTTCGTCTCCAGGCCCTTTCCAGTTCAACCCAACAATTCATTGGAATTGCTAAGACATCCCCGATTCCGAATAATTACATCCACTCAACCTACGCTAACTCGGCGATACATTTGACTCACCTGTTGAAAGCCTTTCTTAGAGTTTATCACACTTTGACTCACCGCAACAAAAATCTCATCGCTATCAGTTCCTGTGTCGGTTCCCTCCTTTCGGCAGACCTATTAAACGCAGTCTCCCTGGCTTCAAACGATACAACAACCTCGTCTATCGGCACTGGAGCGAGTCTGTTCCACACGATATTTCCAAAATCAAATCATCTACATTGAAGCCTTGGGCACACTCGATTAGCATCCGGCAATCCTGAGCCCCGCTATACCGAGAAAGAAACGAGATAATATCAATCGCAATCATTTTCGAACAACTGATCAACATGGCCGACGCACTAGCCTCACAAATGAAAAGCACTACTTTAGGGTACCGTATTCGTTTCCCTGTCGATGGACCTTGAATTGACCATGTTTACATCTTGCCAGGGATACCAGCTCAGATGCGAAGTGGAAGGAGCAATTAAATGTCCCTGCCAAGGATGCGAGACCACAGACTGAGGTTTGTTACTCGAAGACTAGCTCGGGCTCGTCGCCATCTGACTTGCGCCCAGGATGTCACTGCTACGAAAGGCCTAGAATTTGAAGATTTCTACATCAAACGTGAACTTATGATGGGAATTTTCGAAGCCGGGTTCGAGAAACCATCACCTATCCAAGAAGAAACGATACCTGTCGCACTCACCGGCCGAGATATTCTAGCGCGAGCCAAAAACGGTACGGGGAAAACAGCGGCTTTCGTCATCCCAACCCTAGAACGCATTAACCCCAAGAGCACCAAAACGCAGGCTCTCATTCTGGTTCCCACAAGAGAATTGGCCCTTCAGACTTCTCACGTCTGTAAAACTTTGGGGAAACATCTTGGCATCAACGTTATGGTTACTACAGGCGGGACAGGATTGATGGATGACATCATCCGCTTGAATGACGCCGTCCATATTCTTGTCGGAACGCCTGGACGAGTGTTGGACTTGGCTAGCAAAGGTGTCGCTGATCTTTCTGAATGCCCGACATTCGTCATGGATGAGGCCGACAAATTGCTATCGCCTGAATTCACCCCAGTCATTGAACAGCTATTGTCATTTCATCCCAAGGATCGTCAAGTAATGCTCTTCAGTGCCACTTTCCCACTGATTGTGAAATCCTTCAAGGTAAGTATATCAAGAGTTATATCTATCCCAAAAATGGCCCTTGACACATGTTAGGACAAACACATGCGCAACCCTTATGAGATTAATCTCATGGACGAGCTCACCCTACGAGGAATCACGCAGTACTATGCATTTGTGGAGGAGAAACAGAAAGTCCATTGTTTGAACACTCTGTTTTCAAAATTACAGATCAATCAATCAATCATCTTCTGTAATTCCACCAATCGGGTTGAGTTACTCGCGAAGAAGATCACTGAGCTGGGGTATTCCTGCTTCTATTCACACGCAAGGATGCTTCAACAACATCGGAACCGAGTATTCCACGACTTTCGCAACGGCGTTTGCCGTAATCTCGTCTGCTCGGACCTCTTGACCCGCGGTATTGACATCCAAGCTGTCAATGTTGTCATCAACTTCGACTTCCCCAAGAATGCTGAAACCTATCTTCATCGGATTGGTCGGTCAGGTCGCTTCGGGCATCTCGGACTTGCTATCAATCTCATCAACTGGGATGACCGTTTCAACTTGTATAAAATTGAACAGGAACTGGGAACTGAAATCCAGCCCATTCCGCAGAACATCGACAAAAAGCTCTATGTTTACGACTCACCTGACACAATCCCACGCCCTATCGCGAACCCATCACAACCGCTGATTAATACCACAGTCACAAATACAATTGCCGCAGATCGTCGTCCTACTCACCATGCAAATGGCGGGCATTATCAGTTCCATCGGGGCCGAGGCTCATACCGCGGAGGTCGGGGCCAGGGCCAACGTCGCAGCATTCATAACGATGCGAAGCAATTTAGCGCCTCTCAAGGTCAGACAAGCGGCAAAACTCACACTACATCAGTGTCATAAACAACCAGCTACCGCATTAATGAGTGCTACGCCCGCGTTTTCCCGTTTCTGAGCTCTTTTGCCTTTTGTGCTTTTCACTCTTGCCATGTCCTTCTTATTTCCGTTCTCTCTCATCATCGGTTGTGGTCTGCTCATCTTGCAATGATTGTTGGCTACATGAACTCACGGGCCCAACACCGTGGCACATTCTTGATGTCTTGTTTTGCTGTGACTTTTGTCTCCTACATGATAGTCTTTGCACCTCGAATCCGAAGATGCAGGAACATTATATGTCTGTACCATACCTCATGCTCGGCTTCGTTCAGTGTGTATTTGTTTCAGGTCATCACCTGTCCCTCACTCGCCTTTTGATGACGAGTCAGGTTCTTGTCATTGCTCTGCGTGCTTGTACATATTTTTTCTGGGACTGCATTGGGATCAGGTGAGATCATCAAGGCGTTCGCGGACACATTCCAAGGTATATGGGTTTGGCGTTTCTGGCGATTTCGACTAACATACAGAAACGCGGCGATTGGGTTTACCCCCAGCTATGCCGGTTTTGACCATTATATCCTGAGCTCATTTGCCAGGCTAGCCATACGCCACGTCACTGGACCATATTTCCTCTCGGCACAGCATGACTATGACTACAACACCGGAATTTGCATCCCTGGCGATAACGGCGAAGTTTTCAAAGCTCTTTATGCACTTTCGTCTCTGTACCATCGTTTTGGGGTCACGTCGTTTGCCAGTATAACTCGTGACCGTCCTTGTGCTTGGTCTGGACATCGATAAACTCTAGGACCGGGATCGTGGGAATATTCAGAAAATGAAGCAAATTCAAGGGGAGGTGGGCCCAAAGAAAAAAAAAAAAAAAAAAAAAAAAAAAGACCCCCAGAGCAGCAAAAGCAAAGGGGCCGGAAGAGCGAGGTAAGAGGAACAGAGGAGGAAAGAGGAGGGCGAGAAGAGAGGAAATCAAGCGGAACGAATGCTGGGGAAGCTGAAGGCTATTGAAGAAGGAAAGGCGGAGAAGGCGGAACGAGTGCCATGTGGAAATCGGAAGGCAAGAACAATCGAAAGAGCGGGGAGAAACCAAAAAGGAAAAGAGAAAAAAAAAAAAGGGAGAAAACAGAAAATGACGAAAAGAATTAGCCTGGGGTATAACTAGATGCTTTAACTGACGGTCAAGATATGTGCCGTATCTAGTCAAATGTCAACTCAATTCCCTAGGCGGACTTCGTCTAAATGAATAATATTGTAGAGCCAAGTTCGGTCGGCTGACGCAAGAGTCCTGCGCCTTCTGCCCTTGCGGAATCCCGTACTAATAAGGTTACCGAGGAACTAGTGAGTTAGACCATAACTATATTCCGCAATTCTGACTCAAGTCTCGACAGATACTCCTTGACACGATAGATTGTCAAGATTGTGCCCGGTGAAACACTCTCGCCCATGGCAACCACCGAAAAAGATCACCGGTCGAAGGTCCGTTCAGTCTGAAGAGGAATGCCCATGAGAATATTACTTCTAAACTGTGGACGCAGCCCAGTAGTTTGCGATCGATTATCGCAGGCTCAACCGCCGGTGCCGTTGAGATCGGTAATACCTCGCTATGCTCACTTGGACTCCGTTTACAAAAAGCTAAACAGTATTAGCAATCACTTATCCAGCCGAATGTACGGGAAAGACAGATACTGGTTGATCTATCTTCAATAGCTGATTATTCCATCAGTTGCAAAGACCCGTACGCAACTCAACCGCAGACTCCCCGACGCAAAGAAACTACCATGGCCACCGTTTGGCTCACAATGGTATGCTGGGTGCACAACCCTGATCATTGGAAATTCACTTAAGGCAGGAATTCGTGAGTGATTCTGTTTGTGGTGCTGATTCTGATGCATATCTTGAGACTGATGCGCTGGTTTCGTGGATAGGGTTCGTTGCTTTCGACTGGCTGAAGTCACTTCTGCAAGACGAGAACGGCAAGATCTCAGGGCCCCGAACAGTTGTCGCGGGCTTCGGTGCAGGATTCACTGAGTCATTGTTGGCAGTCACACCGTTTGAGAGTATCAAAACACAACTGTTTGTTAGACCCTGGTCGCCGACCACTTCATGAGCTTAGGTCACTACTCCTCGTTCAGTCGGACAGAACTGACACCCTATGGCGCTATTAGAATTGACGATCGGAAGTTGCAGAAGCCCCGGATGCGTGGATTTCTGCATGGGAGCAAGATCATTTACCAAGAAAGGGGCATTCGAGGTTTCTTCCAAGGATTCGTTCCTACAACCGCACGCCAGGCTGCCAACTCGGCGACACGATTCTCGAGTTATACAATGCTGAAACAGATGGCCCAAGGCTGGGTCGCTCCTGGAGAGAAGTTGGGGACTGTGAGCACCTTTGCCATCGGTGGAATAGCCGGCCTTATCACTGTGTAAGCCTGCTGTGGCCCTACTCTCGTCATTGTGGCCGATATCTCTGCGCAGAGGAGTTGCTAATCCATCTCCATCCAGTTATGTTACGCAACCCCTTGATACTGTGAAAACCAGGTTTGTGTTCAAGTCAAACATCTCCTCAAGAGACGCGTACTGACACAGTATTAGGATGCAATCCCTAGAAGCCAGTAAGAATTATAGGAATAGTTTCGTCTGCGCGGCACGCATCTTCAAGGACGAGGGCATTCTAACCTTCTGGTCGGGAGCCGTTCCACGACTAGCGAGGCTCATTATGAGTGGCGGCATAGTATTCACCATGTATGTGCTCTATCGACCCGTAGATGATATGATCCAGCTGTGTGGCCAGCTAATGATAAAACAGGTACGAGAAGACGATGGAGGCATTGGACACATTTGATCCAGAGAGGCGTTATATCTAAGTCGTTATGAAGCTGGGTGATGTATAGGATACTACGGGCTGTGTGTGTGCAATTGAGATCGAATTGTAATCGAATGGACTTGCTGAAAACCTGCTTAACAGCGTAGTCATCATGGCAACATTCGGAACCATTATCTATACACTCAGCCTGCTAAGCACGTCGCTGTACCTCGTGCTTGATCAATGCTTCTGCCGCCATGACTGCGATTTCGCGATCACCAAACCATGTCCGTACACTATCCATCACGGATTCTAACCCATGGCCACCAGCTAGGACGTCGTCTAGATTGTGCACAGTGAGCCCGCTACGGTGGTCTGTGCAGCGACTTTGGCCATAATTGTACGTGCGAACTTTATCGCCTCGGCCCATTCGGGCAACGCCACCCATAGCCCCTCTCCTGAGCTCAACAAGTTCCTGTTCTCGCGTCTCTCGCCTCTGTTCGGCCAATTTCGCACGCAAAACTTGCCACGCCTTCTTTCGATTTGAGTGCTGGGACCGTGAATCTTGCATCGAGACTACGATACCAGTCGGTATGTGAGTTAAGCGGATCGCAGATTCAGTCTTGTTCACATGCTGTCCGCCAGCACCACTAGCTCGCATCTTCTCCGTGCGAACTTCCTGTGGGTCAATGTAATAGTCGCTGTTGGGATCATCGAAACCATGCGCTCCATCGGTGCCACTTCCTGTTTCTGGGAAGCTAGGGAGGACCATGACACTCACAGCACTAGTATGAGTACGGCCCTTGGCTTCCGTGGCAGGGACTCTCTGAACCCTGTGCACACCTGACTCTGTTCTCATGGTGTCGTATGCACCATCCGTTTCTATCTCCAGAACTGCTTCGCTAAGGCGGTCCTCGGCCGACCCTTCTCCGCCTTCCTTCTTGATGATGGTACAACGAAAACCTCGGCGAGAGCAGAAGGCGATATACATTTTCATCAACTCGAAAGCAAACAGGCCTGCTTCATCCCCACCTGCGCCAGGTCGGATCTCAAGCAGACATGGGAGCTCTGCAAAAGGATGGCGAGGAATGAGCGCTTTCTTAAGACTTTCTGATATACTGGGCAACGTAAGCTTGCTACTTTCTAGGTCTTCAATGGCCAAAGACTTCAATTCAGCTTCCGTTTTCGGATCATCTAACAAGGACTGTAACTCGGATATGGACTGTGCATTGGTCAGCGCGAGCAGAACGACGTGAGGACCCAAGAGTCACATGCTTCGTTTGCAGTATCCCACTCCTTTAGAGTGTCCGCAACCTGTGCTAGCTCTCCAATCCGTTTTGCGATCTTGGCGTCGAAGGAATCAGCTAATTGAGTACTGAGAGCGGCATGCTCGACGGCCAAAGTGCGTGCGTGTGTAAGGAGGGCTGGAGAGAGATCTGATCCTGTTCAATTGCGCATGAGCCATGGTCCTTGAGAGTACTACACAAGCGTGGAACAAACTGACCTGTTTTGTACGTCCGACGTTGTAGAAGCAACCGTTGGTATAGAGAGGCCCTGGCTGGCCGGACCAGACACCGAGAGCAGACCCACGGTACTCGGAACATTGTCTATTTCCCGATATAACAAACAAGATCGGTGACAACATCCAGTGCCATGCAGATTCAATCGTAGAATCTGCTTCTCAACACTTGAACGGCGACCAATTCTCCGCGGCTAATTGTGTCACGTGGTATATGCAATCCAGGCATTGTAACCATACTGTACGGTATGAAACAATAATTGGACGGTAACCAGCCATTGTTTCAGGGAAAGAGGGTCGCGCAAGACATGTGCGCAAATTACTGTATGTACGTACAGTACAGTGTCGTAAAGGCCAGACTGGAAGATTGGGACTTGCTGCATCCCGCAATAAGCATCTCCGACAATAAATCACCACGGTCAGAGCTGGCTGTTATCAACATTCCTCAAAATATGTAACTTGCTCTCCGACCATCAAAAAGGTCATTCTTACCCGCGTTGCACCCTGTCACTGGCCGCCTCTCATCTGCGACGTCTTATACTACATACTAATATGAAATCATTTCCATAACGTCCTACATTTTTACCGTCCTATACTCGTCGATTGGCGTCTCTCCTTTTACAAGATGTTTGTCTCTCCAGGGCTCCTTACGGTCTTTCTGGCCTTGCTATCAGTCGTAAAAGGCTGGCAACCCTCACCAATTTCTCACGACACCCCACTTTCATCTTTGATCGCATCTGCGAAAACGCATCTTGCCGGTGGCTCGCCCAGGGACGCTCTACAGTACTTTGATGCGGCTATCTTAAGAGACCCTGCAAATTACCTGGTCATCTTCCAGAGAGGCGCGGCTTACCTTTCATTAGGCAAGAACTCTCAGGCTTTAGCCGACTTCGATCGCGTTCTGCAATTGAAGCCAGGTTTTGAGAGCGCCCTTCTGCAGCGGTCTCGTCTCAGGGCTAAGTCTGCAGATTGGGCAGGAGCTTTAGAAGATCTCGGCGAGGCTGGTAAGGGTTCGTCTTCAGAATTTAAGGAGCTTCAGGAAGCGCAAGACTCTGCGCTGCGTGCACACGACGCAGAAAAGCTTGGTTCCTGGGATGCTTGCGTGAGCCACGCGAATGTAGCCCTCAGCAAAGCAAGCATGTCTCTGAGCCTCCGACAAACCCGAGCTCATTGTCGGTTCGAGCGGGGGGAGATAGAGGAGGGTCTTAGCGACCTCGCACATATCTCCCAAATATCCCCCGGCTCCTTGGAACCCCATCTGCAGATTTCATCGATGCTATTCTACTCCCTTGGTGACTATGATCGCGGCATTTCTCAGGTTCGCAGATGCCTTCATTCAGACCCTGATTCGAAAATCTGCAATCGTCTCTATCGCAGAGAAAAGAAGCTTCTTAAAAGAATTCAGACTATGGAAAACGCTGCAACTTCTAGAAAATTCAACAATGTTGCCAATCTGCTGGTGGGAGTCGGTGACGTTAGTGGTTTAATAGTCGATGTACAGAATGATGTAAGGCAGGCAAGGGAAGCCGGATATATCCACCCAGCCGCTCCCAATCGGCTCTTTGCCTCACTGGTTGAGAGAACCTGCGAGGCCTACCAGGAGGTTTGTCAATGCCTGTTTACCGTGGTTGTCTGGCTTATCACTAACACTTCCGACCCAGACACAGATACGTAAATCAGCGGCCTCCTATTGTTCTCAGGCGCTAGATCTGAATCCATCGTCTTTAGCAGGTCTTCTGTATAAAGGCCAGGTGGCCATCGATGAGGATCGCTTTGAAGATGCAATAGGCGTGCTGACTGAAGCAAAGGAGCATCATCCCAACTCTAAGAAAATTCAGGACCTGTTACAGAAAGCTCACGTTCTTCAAAAGCGCTCTAGACAAAAGGACTACTATAAGGTTCTGGGTGTCACGCGTGATGCCGATGAGCGTACCATCAAACGTGCATATCGTCAATTGACAAAACAACATCATCCCGACAAGGTCATATCTCGTGGAGTATCCAAGGAGGAGGCTGAGAAGAAGATGGCTGCCATCAATGAGGCCTACGAAGTCTTATCGGACCCCGAATTAAGAGGACGCTATGACAACGGCGATGACCCCAATGATCCCGAGTCCCAGAGGGGTAATCCATTCCAGTCCGGGCCGTTCGGTGGCGGTCAACAATTCTTTTTTCAACAAGGGGGCCCCCAGTTCAAATTCTCTGGGCAGGGTTTCAATTTTCCCGGCGGTGGTTTCCCTTTTCGTTGACAACAGAAGGTTATATTTAATGTCGAGGAAACTATTCGTCTAGATGTCTTCATCACTGTCTCTTGGGATTTTACGTAGCTATTTTTCCCGTGTGGCATAGGTATCTCGCACCTTGTGATCTGGGGATAGCTTTTCTTTTAAAAATCCAGGCATACATACACTTAAGGTAATTGTCATACATTCCAGTCGCTAATCTACTGTAGATTTCGTCCCGACGTGCAAACTTTTGTATCCAGTCAATTATGGTAAGAGATATAGGCAGGTCAATCATGATCATTTCTTCGGGCGGTCTGTCAGGGGAACATAGCTGACTTGGAAGATTTTCTCTTTGCTGACGGACCCGTCTGCCTTCTTGTCGACAACCCATATGTATTGTCCGCCGCTTGGCCCAAAACTTCCCGCATCTCCATCGTCACTGTCCATGTCCACGGGGATGAACAACCGCCCGGGTGTGCGAAGCTGCTCAATCAATACAGGATGTAGCCGTTCAGCGGCCGCGCCGACATGGATGGCATCATACGGCGCCCCTTGGGGCCATCCCAGCCGCCCATCGGAAGCAATGAACTTCACTATTTCGGACTTGAGGTACTTGCGACCCTGCTCTGATTTGCTCATGTTCTCGTAGGCTAATTTGACGAGCTCTGGTATGTGGTCGATACCAATAACTTGGCCATTTGCTTGATTTGCAGCCGATGGATCAGTGACGAGGTTGGCAAAAACATGGGTCAAGTAACCTGATCCGGACCCAATGTCCAAGACATGCGAGCCGGGCTTGAGAAAGTCGATAAGATATTCACATGCATGGCCGTGCATATGAGGTGCAGAGATCGTCGCGGCGTGTCCGATTGGCTGCGGTGAATCTGAGTACGGCCTTGAGGGCGCATAGTGGGCCCGGTCAACCTTGCATACCTATCTGTCAGACTTCCAACTACAAAATTCGCCTTATCCGGGAACCGTTGGCTTTTATCTCGTGGCTTATCCTCGTCCAGAGATAGTGATCTCCGGGGAGAAGTAAACGAGATTTCTTGGTTGGTGAGTGAGAAGGGGACGAATGGGGTTGCTCACGCCTTTCATGGCATCTCTCACCCTTTCACTCTTTATGAGACCGGTCCTGTACAGGTTCTCAACCAATTCGCTGTTAGTTGATCCAGAACAGTACCACGCCATTGAGTATAGCTTCCGGGCAGATTGCGTGCAGCGCGTGGTTGTGGCGAAAATCCCAGCAAGCATATAAGTCCAAGTATGCGCCCCTGCAGCAGCAGCAGAATTATTACCAGAGACGTGGATCGGTATTATTCGATATGTGTGTAGTAGATAAGTATGAAGGTCGTTCGTTGTTGAACTAAATCAAAAACGGTGGGGCATCTCTACCTTTGAGGAGGGAATTCCGGAGTGATACGGACGGCCTGTGACGTCATTTACCATCCTAGGTCTCATGATTGCGCAAGTGATAAGCAGCCGCTGTGCGTTCATATGCATTACTACGGAGTACATGTAGTAACAGACCTGAGTAGCCGAGATTCTGATAAGCTCGGGCCTTCTATAGGCTGGACTCCTCGACTTGATTTTCGCTTCATTTCTGGTTGCACATGGTACTTACTGGACTCTGTCATTGCTTGTATTGTATATATTGAGGGTCCAGAGGGGCAACCAGGGGAAGTGGATATATATAAATCAAGCGGCAATCTCCCCCGCATGAATGCCAAATCACATAGAATAACCCTTAGGCTCAAGTGTTTTACAATGGAACATCATCCAGGGAAGAGTGATCACATGCATATATACTGGCCAGGCCACTCAGCACCAACATCTGCCCTAGAAGCACCGAAGCTACTCCCTTCCTAGTTATCGAGGACCTTGACTACACCGTGGGTCATGAATTGACTAGTTGCTGACCCAAGCTAGACCAGAAGACCAGGGAGCAGAATGCAATTTCAGTACATTAACACCTCGAAAAAGAACCCTACCGTCAAAGAACAGTAATACCATTCCCCTGACAATAGATCCCAATGTAAAGTGACCTCAAAAACCCCCGATATAGACATCAAGGAACCATAATAATCCTTAATGTAAAGTGTATACGCATTTCAAGTAGTTATTAAGTAGTTAAGTACTGTGCAGTCCTTGAAAAAGCAAATACTACGTACTGTAAAGTACATACCTGTAAAGGTGAGTTGGCTTGAAAAGTACAGGACTCATATTAAGTAGGTGAAAAGTCACCTGATGTATATGGGCGGTGAGTGTTTTCGTGCCACAGCACCGAAATAACGAAGGTTGGCTGAGCTGCTTCCTTCATGAATTACCACAGCTAGTAAGAACTCACCTGTACCTTGGTTTATTACTAGGCATGATACATGTGGTCATGATAGTCATATATGTGACTGGCAACATTCTCCATAGTTGACATGCGACCAACAGACACGTACTGTACTAGTCAATTGCTCTTGACATGTAATCATGGAAAGTGAAGAAGCCGACTCCACCATCCAAGCAGAGGTCGATGTCCTCATGTTCGATTATCTTCTCTGCACAACGATTGACCAACTCATATGCCACGGAAGGGCGAAGGTGGAAGGGCAGAAGCGAGAAGACCATAATATCGAGTGGTACCTGAGAACCATTCAAAGTAAGTATGACCGAGTTACTGTCACCTTCATCAAATCACTGACTGTTTCCAATTGCCAAACCAGCAACCAGAGCAGTGTTGTTAGACCCAAATAGTCTTTCGGATGACATATGTACTAAAGACCGACTGCTGAATTTTGCCGTGATATTCTGTCGCCGGTATGCCTTACTACAGAACGGTGCTCCGGAAGCAACTGCCCTGTTCCTACTGGCCAACTTTCTCGCGCTCTGCGAAGGACCAGGGGAGAGCTGGCCCGAGCTCAAAGATGCCATCTTAGCTCACCTGGTTATGGCGGCCGCAAAAGAGGAGCTCGCGGCGACCGGCATTCAGTCAACCCCGGACTACGACGAGTGTATTCACCGCGTGCAAGAGGTCATAGAAGAAAAATCAACGGCGAAGGGACGACAAGGGCACCAGAAATACTTCCAGCCACCTCGCGGTTTGTCGCCAGAGGTTCATCTAAGGAATATATCAAACGGACTGCCTGCAGCTCAGCTTGCACGCGCAGTGATTGATTACCTGGCCAACTTAATGCAATCGCTAGATCCACCCATACTGCTGCAATTAGAGAGAGGGAAACTCGGTGGGCTCACCCGCGAAGAGACCAGGCAGTTGAAAGAAAGAATAGGACTTTGAAAGTCCACAACCGGTTATCTGCACAGTTTATAGTTGGAGATTGGCGAGACAAATCACAAGACTAGCTGCAATGATGGGCCTCTCTACATGGATTGAACAGTAACCAATGTCGATGAATGATTTCTAAATAGGACCCATGCAAAACAATACTCTACACGCCAGGATATCAGGAACGCGCGGGGATGGCAGTGTTCCATGGGCCTCCGCTGCCAATCGGCAAATAAATCGTGGCAAATAGCCTAGCCCAGTAGCATGCGACGGGGATCTTCAATGTATTCCTTGACCTGGAGTAAGTGATAAGGTTAGTTTATGGGTTAGAAATGCTCTGGTTACGGTGTCTGACCTTGACAAGGAAAGTGACAGCCTCCCGACCATCCAGAAGCCGGTGATCGTAAGTCAAAGCAAGATACATCATCTGGTTCAAACGTCAGCACAAGCTAGGAGGACAGTAAGGATGCAGTAAGGACTTACAGGGCGAATTTCGACTTTACCGTTGACGGCAACAGGCTTGTCCTTGATGGCATGAAGTCCAAGAACGGCTTGACCATGTTAGTCAGTTTTCTACTATGTACCAGCATAAGGCGTCGGAACCTACCCGTCTGTGGAAGGTTAATGATCGGCGTGCCCATGAGAGAGCCGAACACACCACCCTGTGAAGTCAGCATTGTCAATAAAAGTTCAATGCCAAGCATGGACAAAACACGACTTACATTGCTGATGGTAAAAGAACCTCCGGCCATGTCCTCGATCGTCAACTTGTTGTCACGGGCCTGGAATGTGTACTAAGATTAGATTGCGAAATTCAATGAGCTTGGGCGACTGACCTTCTTGCCGAGGTCTGCAATGGACTTCTCAATACCGACAAGGTCCATGGTCTCCGCGTTGCGGACCACCGGTGTCACAAGGCCCTTTTCAGTGGCGACGGCTACACTGATATCAACATAGTCTCGATAGACAATGGTGTCACCGCCATTCGGCCCCTCAATGGAAGCATTAACTGCAGGGACATCTTTCATAGCTAGGACGCATGCACGAGAGAAAGCGCTCATGAATCCCAGCTTGACACCCGTCTTCTTCAGCACATCGTCCTTGTAGAGCTTCCTGAACTCCATGAGTGACGACATGTCCACCTCGTTAAAAGTGGTGAGGGAGGCTGCCGTGTTCTGAGACTGCTTCAAGCGCTCAGCGATTCTCAATCTCATTCTGTTCATCTTCACCTGTACGTGGCATGTCGTGTTAGCGAATTCAAACTAGACCATGACACATGGACTATGATAGCAACGAACCCTCCTCTCTTCACGGCCCCCAATGCTCAGTTTGCTGTCCTCAGGAGCCTGCGACTTAGGCGCCGTGGGCTGCGACTTCTTGAGTTCATTTGCCTTGGCGGCAGGCTTCTCGGGAGTAGGCGCTTTTGGTGCCTCAGACGTCTTTGCTTGCTCTGGCTCCGAAGCCGTGGGTTGCTCGGGACTAGCTGGTTCCGCAGACTTTTGAGATGCCTCCTCCTCCGTCTTTGCTTCCGGGGCGCCTCCGAGCTCCAGTCTAACAAGGTCCTGACCAACCGTGACGGTGTCCTCCTCGCTCACCAGGAACTCCTTGATCGTGCCAGATTCTGGGGCATTAACAGAGACATCAATCTAGAAAGGGTAAGCGGCTGTTGGGCGTGGAAAATGTCAAAGTCCACGTTTCATGGTCATTAAACGTCCGTACCTTGTCAGTTTCAATTGTCGCAATCTCCTCATCTCGTTCAACGTAATCCCCGACCTCTGATGGCACCGTCAGTGAATTATAGCAATGTGAACGCCTTAGGACCCTCACGTTTGGAAAACTGCTTTAGAGTGCCTTCGGTAATAGACTCGGCCATCTGTGGGACCTTGACAACAGTATCCGCTATAAGTCACCAAGTTAGTGCAGCCGGCTAAGATACAGGGTGCTTTATGTACCATAGGTTCTAACTTGGTGGGCTCCGAAGGGAGTAGCGGTAAGGTTGGTGAAGCTTCTGAGCCTTTCTAAGCCGTCTGTTGCTACCGAAGCCATTTTATCGAGAAGGACTTACCCCGAACCCGTAAACCGTTGCAAAGCTGGATTCAGCCGACAGGCCACTTTAGCATTTCTTTGGAGCGCATTCGAGGCGAAGCTTCTGGGCCGACCGAAAGAAACAGCGCGGAAGGCCTGAGTGCTCCGAGGCAGACGGTGAAAGGGCAGTCGAGAAGCCATGATGACCCAGGTAAAGGAGAAACAAAAAAGAGCAATGAAAGTTATCAATAGCAACGTCCGAGAAAGACGGTATACAATCCTAAGCCCCTGTGTGATCTCTGGCAACCGGGCGAGGCGAAGACAGCTGAGTTTTGATCCAACTTGGAATGCAGGTTCAATTATTGAAATTAAGTTAAGAGGGAGTGATGAAACTTATGTCGGGGTACGTGAGCTCGAGCCCGGGCCGAGACAACCGGAATTTCCCTCAAGAGAAGCTGCATTTTCCCTGCGACCGGCAAATGAACGGAGTATAATTATTACGCTTCTTCGGCTGCCCAAGACTGCCAGCTTGGCACTTTTCAGCGCCCGCCAAGGACCGCCGCAGGCCGAATTGTCAAATGAGGTAGAACTCGAAGCCGAGGGCACATCATCGTCATCTATCTCCTCAAACCCAGACTTCCCCAGACGCAATGCCTCTTAGCGCCGCTGCGTAAGTCAGTCAATTGAAAGTTCTTCTAGAGAGAATCTGACTCTGCATTACAGCTCCCTTTATCGACGGTCCCTGAAACTTGCCCTGGATTGGGCTGTTCACCGTCAGGTTTGGCGAGGACAGGCAGTCTACATTCGCTCACTGTTCGACGCAAATAAAAACGTTCGCGACCCTCGGCAACAGAAGGTATCCCATGATTCTGGAGCTGCAAAGTGCAGTGGTACCAGACCTAGTCTAATAGCGATTCAACAGGTGCTGTTACAGGAAACCGAGAAACTACTTGAGACATGGAAGCACCCCGACCCCTATCGCGCGCCCACTGCCCCAGGAGGTATTTGATTGCCAGTCCTAGCTTGCCGCAAGAATCAGGTGCTAACTTTTCAAAAGGCAGTAAATGGGAGAGAAACCTTCCTGCCCCCCAGTTGCCTCGTAAGTTCATCCATTTTGTCCTTCATAACAGATGCTGGGATGTTGTCCGGTACGCCGTACTGACACCCATTAGTCGCCTCCCAGCCTGCGGGCCACTGATTGTCGTCTACGATGTACTTTAGCATATTTGTTACAAAAATACAATTTGAATAGCACATTTGCAGCAATACTGGTCAATGCAGTAAATTATAGATATTGAAAAGCGATAAGCAGCGGTTGCCGGATCGACAAGACTCAACACGTCGAAGTTGTGAATAGAGCATCTTGAAAATTTGTGTCCATAAATAATTCTCGGTATCATTCCATGCCCGTGGACATAATGTACAACCATGAAACTAAAAGCTAAAAAGAGAGAGAAAAAAACGCAGAGCCATTAACGTGCCCAGACCAGAACCCCGTTATCACATCAATAAGAGAACCAATCCACGCCGAATCAGAAAACCCAAACCAAAGAAAAATTATTCACAGCTCCTGGCTACCCGAGCCCTTGCCACTCTTAGGGGTCTTCTTGGGCAGAAGGTCTAGATTGTGTTAGCACCGCATCAGTCAACGTATATCGAGAACTCGAAACATACTCTGGTGAATGTTGGGGAGGACACCACCCTGAGCAATGGTGACGTGGCCCAGAAGCTTGTTCAACTCCTCATCGTTTCTGATGGCGAGCTGGAGATGGCGGGGGATGATACGGGTCTTCTTGTTGTCACGGGCAGCGTTACCAGCCAATTCGAGGATTTCGGCAGCGAGATACTCGAGAACAGCGGCAAGATAGACAGGAGCACCTGGTGCCATGTTAGAGAGGTAGAAGTGAAGAGACGATTCGAGCTTACCAGCACCGACACGCTGAGCGTAGTTGCCCTTGCGGAGGAGACGGTGGACACGACCAACAGGGAACGCAAGGCCGGCCTTGGACGAGCGGCTAGAAGACATGGTTAGATTAGCTTCACTTATGGTGGATGATTGATGGTGGCTCTCACGATTGGGCGTTCTTGCTACCGCTGGCCTTGCCTCCAGACTTTCCTCCGGTCATTTTGAATGGTTGTTGTTTTTTTTTTTTTGGTTGAGGTCGTAAGAAGAAGGTATGCGATAGGGTCAAGACGTTGACACGGCGAAAAGGTTAGTTTATGGGGTTAAGGGTTGACGGCGAACGCGAGGGAGCGGAGGACATATATAATAACGCGACAAGGGTGACGTTGGGCTAATGGGGAGCCTTTCAGATCACCCTCTCGCTTAGCGGGGCTAACCAATCAAAGAAGAGATCATATCACCTGGCACGCATGGCTTGGCGGAGATGGGTTTGGCTTGATTCCGGGTAGCGGTTACCTTATGTGGTATAGCTCTGTAATGAATGGGGTATGTTTCAGTACAGTCATGCTAGCGTGATCTGAGGCGTTCCGTGGCGGTAGGTGACGCGTTCCCCACCCTTTAATCATACAGATCATACGTATTCAATACAGTATTGAAATTCTGCTTCTTTCGCGGACCTCAGGATCAACTAGGCATTTGCGAGCTGGTATAAGTAGCGCGCCTCTCTCGTCACCGCGTCTCCCTCATTTCAGTTTTCCTCATCATCCTGTTCTCCGTCCTTCTCCACGCTACAACTCAACGCAATCCGCTTTTACCTCCATTTACGTTTTAAACAGAACACTCAAAATGCCTCCTAAAGCTGCCGAGAAGAAGCCCAGCACTGGTGGCAAGGCCCCCGCTGGAAAGGCCCCCGCCGAGAAGAAGGAAGCCGGCAAGAAGACTGCCTCTGCCAGCACCGGTGACAAGAAGAAGCGTGGAAAGACCAGGAAGGAGACCTACTCCTCTTACATTTACAAGGGTACGCTCGCTTCACTGTGCTATCATATACGAAGCTAATTTTCGCCGCAGTCTTGAAGCAAGTTCACCCCGACACTGGTATCTCCACTCGTGCCATGTCCATCCTGAACTCTTTCGTCAATGGTATGCTTGGATCCTGGCTGCATAATAATCGGATCAAAGTTGTTGACTGTCTTTAGATATCTTTGAGCGCGTTGCTACCGAGGCTTCCAAGCTCGCCGCTTACAACAAGAAATCCACTATTTCGTCGCGGGAGATCCAGACCTCGTAAGTCACCAATTCCATGAATCTCGGGGCACCAGCTGACAAATGGTAGTGTGAGGCTCATTCTTCCCGGCGAATTGGCAAAGCACGCGGTGTCCGAGGGCACTAAGGCTGTCACAAAGTACTCTTCTTCTGCCAAATAAGCTTCTTGTTTTGTTTTTTGTTTCTGCGGGATTGTTTTTATGCTACCTCGTCATCAGCAACGGTTCTGAGGTGGTGGGTTACAGGGTGTTCGCGGGATTTTTTTTTCTAATGTGTCATGGGATGGCTTTATTTTTTCCCCTTGGGCCAAATGTTTTTTATGGTTTTCGTGACATGAATGCGGTGTAACATAACACGGATCTGGGGTTGGTCGCGCAATTTTGCCTTCCCTAGCAGAATTCTATTTCTGAATTGCTTTCCATATCCATGATTCATCCACGCAGCTCTACCGGGTTGACATACAGTATCAGGAAAGTCTTTTTAGACTAAGAGCCACGCATTCGTTCCAGGTGTCTACTCTGTATCGTCCAATACCTCGACTTCGTCCAGAGCATCTCGCCCCATGTTTGATGTATCCACCTCGTTGATGACATGGATGATCGCTCTGCCTTCTACCGACTTCAACCGACCCTCCCAGTCCTGCCAGTCTTCTTCATTTCGAATGAGAAACCCAATAAGCATGCTTGGATCCATATCCCGCATGTGAATCCTCCGCAGTCGTCGCGTGTGGTAAGTGTCGATCTCATCTTTCGAGTATGACTGCCCTGTGTCACGGTCTGGAAGCGCTGGGCGGGTGAAGTGGGGGTCGAGATAGAATAAATGCGAACCCTGGTGAGCTACAAAATAATGCGAGGCCGAAGGACGTCCCCTAACGTGTTCATCACGTCAGTTTGGTTTGGTGGCAGGTACTCGGGGACATACCCTGCTATTCCCACTGACTGAGGCAGTTGTAACGCAGCCTTGAGGCCATTCCAGTATGCCGGTGTCACGCGATCGATGCCCAGTCTTATTCCGACAAGTATGAGTGTTGGTTGAATCACATCCGTCCCGCTACGTGCGATTTCCAGGAATCTATCTCGATAAACCTCCCCTGTGTCATTTGTGACATATACGTTGAGTGCTGGTTCTTGCCACGAAGTGGAGAGCGCCCTAGCTTGATCTTCAGCTCCAGTTGATACCTTGGTGTGTGGGCTTCACATACTCGATGCATCTGGCGGTTGCGGATGGCCCAAACCACTCTCCTGGGAATTTACCGCATGACTGTGCACCATGCTGTACAAAACGATGGATCGAGAAGGGGGCACTCGGAGTATCTGCAAAAAGCGATAGCAGGCTCGCTTCTTCCTTGTGTCTCTGTCCGCGACGCCAGTCTATCAAGATGTTAGCAAGGTAAAATCGCTGTCTTTAAATGTCTGAGATTATGTTTCCTACCCCGCCCGAGTAGCAGAAAAGCCATCGCATTGATTAGTAGGCTTTGGCCTGATCTTATCATGCAGCCCCATCCGGTATCTGATGTAAAACCTTGGGTATCCAACAACTGACTTCGTAGTCGGACGCTTAGTGTCATGGACGCAGTGGCATTGTGGCCATCGGTCCTGGGTATTGGTGTGAAATTTGATCGATAGGTCATCCAGATCCTTGATTCGAAGTCTGAAATGAATGTCTCTGGCCAAATATGCTCCAGTGCGCCTTGTGTATTTGAGACCGCTGATGCAACCTCATTGCCTTCGTGACACTCCTCTTGGCCATTATCGGCTACGTGGTATGCAGGTATTAGTTGATCTGTCCACTTCGCTGGTTACTCCCTTTTCTCCCTTCTTCTATCTTGTTTTGTGTATGCGGGACTCTGTGAATGCGGGTGGGCTTACAGGTCTTGGTCTGTGAGACTTCTGGCCCCTCGGCAGGTAAGTACTTTACCCCCAAACACCAGATGGGTTCGTGTGGTTCTCTGTCATTCCTGGGCTCGGGGTCCCAGATATACTGCACGATGCGCTTGCTGCAGCGGCCGATATCCGCAGCATTCATGGTTGATGTGTCGCTCTGGGTTTGCACGGTGCTCAGTTCTGGGCATTCAGCGGATGAAAGGTTGTCGCCGGTTCGGTTGCTACGTCAGTGTCCGGCGGGGGTGGGTCTAGGACATCGCCGGCCCGCTTGGGTCATGCGGAATGGGCCATATGAGCACTGGTGCTGCACCATTTGACTGAGAGGGCTCTCGTCAGGTGGAGTAGCAGGATGGGCATGGCATTTATGCTTGATGTTACTGGCAGCCCTATCGACAGTTTTGACGGAGCGTTTGTTCTGTTCTTTACTTTGCAGTGTCTTCTTCAGCGAGTGATAATTCTGGTGAAGTTTATACAAAGGCACGTTCGAACATATATATATAAACGCATGGCAGTGGCCAGACGACTCCATCAAAATCTAGGATAGCACCCCACAAAGAAGTATCTTACACTACGAAGACATAGTAGCGAAAAGTTTATACGTGCCGTGGAGATACCCACCAAGTGCACATACCCATCCAAAGCAGGCAGTGCAAAGATGCCGGACAGCTTCAGCGATCCAGATAGTAGTAGATACCCACTCAGGTGGAGTATGGAGAGCGATCCCACCCCGCAGATATTCACTCACCGCCCACCGACAAAGTGGAAAAACCCAGAGCCGCCGCCCCGGGTAAGTTTTGAAAATGACTACTACAATTCTTACACATCGCTTACATCCTTTTTAGGTACTTCCAGTACTGCCACAAGCAATTACGCACACAAAAGTGCGGCTTCAGGATGCCACGGTCCAAGGTGAAGCCGAGGGTTAAAAAGAACAAAGTAACAGTACCCAGTCTTCAAGGTACTGGCGCCGGTTTACTACGACTACTCACATGTTTATGCTAACGCCACAGAAGCCACAGGCAAAAACCATCTTACCCTGCAACAAGAAGCACGCAATACAGAGGGCCGCAGCTCACGAAGGACAGACACCTCTCTTCGCCGCCAAGTCATACAATTTGTTAGCGCAGGAAACACGGCATCAGATCTAGA